GCACGGGTTAATGGAAAAGTCGAGAATCTACCTTTTCGCCTAGGTAAATAGTGGTGGAAACACGTTAAATAAAAAATTGAGAGGTGGGAGATGTTGGAACCGCGTAGATGATGACAATCTAGCATCCGCAGAATGCGTATCAGAGGAACACGAAAAGAAATAGATGGCTCAGTGACACTTGACGAGAGTCCTACCGACCGCTCAACACGTAAAGCGACCTTTGGATTCCGTGTTTTAGAAAACACTATCGCTAGTCTGGGTTTAGAGCTCAAGCATTCAAAATGAAAATTTGAATGAAGCAAATGTTGCCTTCAGCCACTGACTTTGGGCTTTTATTTTTTTGTGATGGCAAATTTACATGCAAAGTACAGATTGCACAGCAAAGTTTCGTTTGTCCTAGTCAACATTTTTTACCGCAGAATTTCCCACCACTCTAATCCCGTCCCATTTTTTTGGAATTGCTTGCGACACCTTCTCTGGGACAAAAGAATGGACTTTTTACCTCTAGAAGTGTCCATCTATACTGGGCCTAGAAATGAACGAATTGGATGTACAAAATTTTCGTTTCCTGTCCGCTAATCGGCCTAGCATTCATCGGCGTCGGGGTGTAAGCTGCATAGTGCGCCTTTTTGCTGCTTCCTTGTGTGATAGAGAGGATGAAGACGCTAGTTCTCCATACTGGAAATTCAGATAGTTTGCATCTGATAAGCAGTTAGAAGCTACTGGTTTAAACAAATTGACCACCGAAACATGCTGCATGGCATACGGAATCCTTTTCTTAAGTGTTCAAGATTAGTCACACTCATTTTATTCTCATTACAGTACAAATATGAAAGAATCCTGCAGGATAAAAAAGATTAGATTTCGAATTCGTTAACTCTAAAATAGTTCAGCAAAAGGCTCCCTGATCAAACCAGTTGGTGGTTTGGGCAAAGTTGGCCGCCGAGGGAGCGAAAAAAACGGAAAAGCGATGACTCCATGATCAATCCCCATCTGTCACAATGGCTCACTACCCAAACACTGTCCACAGGTTCTCAAACGCATAAGATTGGGGGAAAAGCAAGAATGGTCATTTGGTAGCACTACAATTCAACATCTTCACTAGAAGAGGCATAAATGACTATGTAAGACCATATCCAGCCCCCTGATCTGGTGTTTTGCATTCTCCTGTTTTCCTTATTAAATAAGCTTTTCGCAGAATGAAGTAAACTCAAAGCATTTTTAAGGAGTTTGAAAGGCAGCAGCTGTGAAGAGCATAAAGTGAATAGTCAGTTTGTAATCAATGGCCGACATCATTGAGTGCTTAGTGTTAAACTCAAGAGTTAGTGGCACGCCTGTAAGGCCAGATGTGCCCTTTGATCCTATACATTTACTCGAAGTTAAAATACCAAAAATCACAGGTGAATGGGTGATAAAAATAAACAACTGCAATAAAACATCACACTAGCAGGATCCATATTTTGCATCAAAAAATACCACTAGTTTGCTAAAATTATATTGTTAAATTGTGGACAGTCCTAAAAACAGCAAAATGGTTCAATTTATAGAGAAACATGTCTTATAGCAACTTACTGCGAATTAAAAAGATATTCAGAATGGCGAATCATTTGTCCTGGATGGGCTCGCGAGAAAATGATAAAATTATACGTGGAATTGCGCTCTCTACTATCGTAAGACAAGACCAAGCTAGAATTCTTTACTTCAAGCAGATGTTTTGATGGACGAAGGTGAGTTAAATAGTTTTGTGGAAAGAAATAGGGCAATAACAAGACCCGTGTTCGCATGTATGCGGTTACTGAGAATAAGGGTTGATGTCACAGTTAATAAAAACTAACCTTACTTTGAAGCCTTTCGATTTCAAGCATTAGCATTGAAACAACAAGCAGACCCTCTAATCCAGCCAATGTGATTATCCCAAATTGGAAGGCCTTTCCATGAAGTGTTGCTCGCAATTTCGACTTTAGCCGTTGAAATCGGTCGCAATCGCACATAATAGTCTAGCAGTTTTCCACTTCCAGGAACTGATGATCAAAGATAGGCGTCATCCTATGCCGAATCCCAGGAGTAACCGAAATTAAAAAAACGCATTATCATCACTGCCATAAGATTGTAACACTTTTAAATATCAACATGCTACAAAGTGAGAGGGGTCTAACTTATGAGTTTAGTGAATGGTAAGATGGCAAAGAAACGGATGAATATAGAGTATGGGTCATCTTTAAACAACGATGAGTTGATTTGGACTGTATTTAAGAAAAGTAATGTACAGAACAAAAAGTCAGTAAAAGCTAATAATTTGTGCAAACGATAGACAGGGAAATGATCAAAAATAAGCAAAATACTAAAAACTAATTCTACGAAGTCAAATACAAAAGGATCAAGGAAAAATATGTGAAAAATGGCACCAGGAATGTAGACTAGTGACCACAGAATGTCAAAAAGAGACACGAAATTAAAACAAAGTGTTTCAAAATGGATTTGAAAAGTAAATTGGGAAACAGCTGAAAAATACCATTAAGATATAAAGGAAAATCGCGCTTACAAAACGCACCAAGCGTTGCTTAGAGATCATCAGTGACACCGATGCAGTAATTATAGGTACATTTGCATGTGTAATGAATAAAAGCACAGATTGCGCAAGGGTCACAAACTCGTAACACCTGCATAGCACGAGATTACTACTCAAATGCAGATAGATAGTGAGGAGCATGTTGTTACTAAACATCGGAAATAATGCAAATATATTGCAAAAAAGCTGTTAAAAACGGTTCAAAAAAACAGTCAGACGTTAAAGCAACAAAAAACGACAACAAAGCTAAAAAACGCCATGATAAAGTCAGCTACCTAGCGATTACAAAGAATCAAATCTTCGTCCAGATTCATTGATTTCTGCAAAATAATGTGTGTGCATATACAAGGAATAGCCATATAAAGTTTTAACATCCAAATCGCATTAACTAAGTAAATATAAAAATGAAATGTGCATCTCAATGGCGCGCGAACGCCTAATTGAGCAGAAATCTGCTTGTATTACTGGTCAAACCTAGGAAAAACCTGCAAAGGTCATCCGATAGGTAAGTTTACTTAGTAAAACAAATGTCACACATTTTAAGCCATACAGCGTTAGCTAATCTTATTTGCAATATTTTATGTTTTAAAATATTATTTTAAGACTTTATGCACTTTTTAAAAAGGATTCTACGCAGACTTTTTATTACATACGTAATTCTTTTGCACATGCCAACTTATGGCTAAATCCATAATTATGCTGAGTAGAAAAATTTTTAATTAACATTTCTTAATAACTTGGTCAGGTTCTGTTGTTCGCTCGATATTCAAAATTTTCAACCCTCTTTATTAGGTGTAGCACGTGGTGCGTTATCTGCCATTGAATACTTGTGTGAATCGCATTTGGTAATTTGATGATTCTAGTGCCTCGAGTTGCATTTAAACATGAACGTTGTGTGCCTTTTGTTTTTTGCATACTCTCCGTCTCTGGTCCTTTTTTGGCTGTATTTTAAGCAAGGGTTTCCTTTGAATCTTATATTCTTACCACGAAATTGATTTGCTGGTTGTTATTCACGAAGGCCTTTAGAGATCATTGAATATGTGAATTCTTGGATGCCGTGTTGTAGATTTTTTCTAATGCAGTAGCGTTCATTTTGTGCGATTATTTACTAATGTAGAAACTCATTGGCCTCTGGATGAAGACACGTCGTGCCTCTGCTGGACCATCTAAAATAACCGCTGGAGTGCGGACACGAAGAACAGCTCGTATCGGTTCGCCTTCATCTCGTATTCAAAATGATGCTCCTACTGATGACAATGTTGGTGTTCAACCTGTTATCCCTACCTCTGAAAAAGTGGACGAACCTCCGTCCAAATCGAGACAATGTACTCTCTTTTTTCATCGTTAAATGTTGCAACTTTAGCTGGCCAGAAGGTTTCTCTGAAGGAAGTATGGACGGCGGATGATAGAAGATTGTTCTTCCTAGGTGTTCGTTTGGTAGGAGTTCCAGCAGTCATCTAACAATACCCTCTTTAGTATGGACGTAACTTTAATGAACTAGCGCGCTTCATAAGATCTCGAGGTCATCGTACTGATACCTACTCCACCAGTGCCACTGCCAACCAACCTTCTACCTCAGCTGAGGCTCCGAAGTCTACCTCTCAGTCAATTGGATCCACGGTCGTGAGGCCCGTTGCTGCGGCTGCTGGACTTTTGCCCACTAGCTCTACGAATCAGCCAAATGATCAAGCAGGATCGATGGACGGCCGGACTAAGGAGCAAGTACGACTACTCTACCATCAGACTTGGCACAAACTTCGGCGCTATATTAAGTATCCGGACGATGTTCCTCAACACGTCCGCGAGGTCTATGCCATCATTAATTGGTCCGTAATGCGATTTCGGATTAAAAAAAGTGAGTGTCAATATATTTTAAATGTGTGTGTTGATATGATTGTTGTTCCTAATCCTAATCCTGTGTGTCGTTAATGCTGAATGCAGTCAAGAACATCCAAATTTTACGCGATTTTTTGTTCCGTTTGGGACACTGCTTGCTGGTATTTTTTTATCAATGATTTTGTCTTTGCAAAATGGGTATTTTTAATGACATCTAATGCTCTTGAACACATTTGGTATCAACTACAGTTGTGGCGTTCTGATTTCCTATTACGAGTGGGCTTTTCGGATTGTGTTTTTTGTAAAGGTTGGCTTTCTATTAGACCTCGATGACGCATGCATTAGCATGCGCACCTTTTTGGAATCCATGTCCATTAATTGCTATGGCTGTTTTAATACGTTCATGTTCAGACAAAATTTCCACCTGTCACTATCTGCTAATCTACATTTTTTGTCGTAACTTTCGCTTTAGCTCTCGACAACCGACTTGGAGAAAAGCTAAATGAACTTGTCCATTATGGGTAAGCATGCCACTTAAACCGACGTAACTGTTGGCTTTGTCGCGTAGGTCGACCTGTGTAAAGCACAAGGGTCGTCGTTTCCTTTTGCGCACTCCTGTGTGTCCTATTTTGAAGCAGCTCAACCATATTTCTGGTAAGTGTATTTTTACTAATGTGCCAATAAGTAGCAATATTGTTACCGAGGGTTGTGGTACCAATGTTACCACTCAGTGCCCTAGGTGGGATTCGATATCGCACACTAAAAGACGTCATAAATTCCCATCGTTTATTGTCTAGCACCGTCTCAGGAGTTTACACTACCTGAAGATGTGTGGGTGGAGCTAGTTCCAGCCACTCAGATGGTTGCCTGGAGAGTGCTGCAAGCCGAACAAAATCCTCGATTACGACTCAAAACAGACATCAATCGTCAACTTTCAGACATCATCAGCCTAGCTGAGGCAAAGTGGATTCTTCCCACCGACTTAATTGTACGGCTCTGTTGAGTTATTGAGTGCTTTGTTTCATTTGTAATTCAGCTAGAAGGAAAGTGAATGCCGATTCATTCTGACTCAGAGCAGCGAAAAGGCGAAAATACGCTGATATGGCATCTTTATCAACGAACTTCAACCTTAGCTACACTGAATTCGCATCAAATTAACATCTTCAATGAATCGCAGCATTTTTAAGCAGTTTTGATAAGAGTTTAAAGTTGTTCGTGTGACATATTTTTGCATTATCATTTTGATACTACGGGGCTCTAAATTTTATTGCAAGTTCG